CCATAATTCATATATTTCAACACAAAGATATTCCGGACACACTCCTAAGTCCCAAATAACCTACCGAAGCTATCCAAACCATAAAATTCGCATTTCGAATCCGATATTAAAATTTCCACTTCCGGCCAAATTTTCTCAAAAACCTTCAATTTTCCATCTTTAGCCGAACGGCTCCAAAATGACCTACGGACCTCCGAATTCACTTCCGATCGCGCTCCCAAATCCAGAATCACCATACGGAGCTACTCCCAGTCTCGGAATCCCAAACGGACATCAATAACACTGAAATGCATTTTAAACCAAACTGATGCAATTTCTTCTAAAATGCTATCTTCCACAATAGGCGCCAAAACGCTCCCGGGTTATCCAAAACCCGATCCGGGCATACACCCAAGTCTGAAATCATCATACGAACCTGCTGGCTGCTGGAACCTTCGGATCCCAATGCTGAGGTCGTTTACTCAAAATTCCAATCCTAGTTCATTTCTTCAATTTTAAGCTTTCAAAATGAGAATTTCCATTTAGATTTGACTCCAAACTTCCTGAATTTTAATTCTGACCATACACACAAGTCAATATACCTGAGATGAAGCCGCTCATGGCCTCAAACTGTTGAATGACGTGCCGGAACTCAAAACGACCGGTCGGGTCGTTACAATCGAATCCCCCCGAAAACTCATAATAGCATAAATAAACACGGGGAATGCAGTTAATAGGAGAACGTAATGTTAATTCTTAAAACGACCTGCCAGGTCGTTACAATACTTGATAATTTCAAGCAACTATAGATCAACTAGGAATTTGAATATAGTTTATAAAAAAATTTAGATCAAATACTAAGGCAGCTTGAGAGTTTTCATACACTGACTGGATTGGATCAAACGTATATTTTAAATATGGTTTATAAAAATTTTAAGTCAAATGTGATCCATACTTTTTCATGTTTAACAAATTTATATTATGAGCAATTCAAGGTTTCACTAGAACTTAGTTTGACATAACTTCTAATAGAAATTTTACTTTTTAGTGGAGTAAAACAATAAGAAATTGCTTCGAGGAAAGTAGAAAGAAAGAAATGAAAAAGAAGTTAATACGGGTATAGCCTGTTTGGCCAAGCTTTTCAAGAGGCCAAAGTTTTTTTTTCTTTTCCCAAAAGTATTTCTTTCCCCTAATTTTAGGTGTTTGACCAAGTTTTTGGGGGAAAATATGCTTTTGAGAAGAAGCAAAAACAGTATATAAGAAGCAGAAAAAAGTAGGTTCTTCCCAAAAGCAGAAGCATAAGCAGTTTTGACTTTTCTTCTTACCAAAAATACCCTTACCAAAATATAGTATATACCAATATACCGTTAGACCTAATACTTAGGATATTAATATATATAAGTATTTTTTCTTATTTTTAGGATAACTTTATAATATATAGTGACTTTAGGGGTGAATGCTTTTATATTTGTTGAATGATTTTTAATATATTTAACTTATATCAAAAGAAATAAGTACTTTTAAATTTTATTTTCATATTTTATTTAAATAAAATGAAAAGATTTAATTATTGTCTGTAATAACAAATTTTTGAGATTATTTAAAGACTTATAATATTAACTATTAAGTAAATCTATTCATGTCCTTATTTGTAATTTAATACTTAAAAACAATTATTGAAAAGCTTGGTCAAACACAAATTATTGCTCAAAAGTGCTTTTCAAAGTGAATAGCCAAAAACAAATTGTTTTTCTCCAAAAGCACATTTAAAAAAAAACACTTTTCAAAATAAACTGATTTTTCCAGCTTGACCAAACATGCTATTAATGCTCAGACATTGGCCATTATTTTTAGGAAATAAAATTGATCAGTTTGGATTAGGGGTGGGCATCGGTCGGTACGATTCGGTTTTGAACATTATTGGTTTTGCCTATCGGTTATCGGTTTACAAATATCATAACCCGATACCAAACCGATAAGATATTGGTTATCGGTTATCGGTTAATCTGTTATAATTCGTTATCGGTTCGGTTATCGGTTTACCCGATAAGATAAAACAACTACAAAAATTTTCAATATATAAAACAAAGAAATCAAACTGCCAGAACGTGTAAACTGCCAACTTTTGTTGTTTCTTAACAAAAACACGCTCCCACTTCTGTGCAGTATCTACTGATGTCTGGCGGAGAGCTGGTGATGAGTCTTGCGTCTTGACTCTTGGGGGTTGCGACGGAAACAAGAATGAGAACTGAGAGACAAACGACTGAAGACTAAAGAGTGAAGAGGGAATTAGGAAAATAAATAACCTTAGTATATACTTAAGGGTAAATTAGTAAATTATATCATTCTTATTGGGTTATCGATTTTTACCCAATAACAAAAATGCAAACCGAGCCCGAACCGATAACCCAATAAAAAAAAATTTAACTCGTTACCGAACCGTTAACCCAATAACCCAATACCGATAACCCAATAAATAATTAACGGTTCGGGTTATCGATTTTACCCGATATATGCACACCCCTAGTTTGGATTGTTCCAAAGTCTCCATAGAGCAAATAAGAATAGGTTAGAATCACAGGATTATGTTATTCCATTATAGACAAAGATAAAATTCAAAATTAAATTATATTAATCATATTGTAATATGACTTAGTTGCATATAAAGATTAAAGTTATATATATATATACCAACTATTAATGTAATATAATACAGTTGTATATATTTTATTTTTATATTTAAAAATACACACTTACAATTTTTTATACTATAAAAATTATATGCAATATTAGTTTGAATAAAATTTATTTTCAATAGTATACGGGTGTACGGAATTTGATTTTAATATATAGAAAGTCGTAATTAAATCAAATGTTTGACATAATTTTTATTTTTTCCTAATTGATCAGAGGGATACTCTGGTCAAATAAATTTCCCAATGAGTTTTGAAGTTTTCTTCCCCAATGCAATGCCCCACTAAATCCTCGTGCCTTCCTAGAAACCTGAAACATAAAGTTACGGTCCGGACAGTTAATGACTCCGTTAAGAAAGCCCTGCATATTTTTCCAAAGAGAACCCACGGCCCGCATCTCTCCTCTCTCAAGTCCCGAGTTCCAATCCCCCCCTCTCTCACTATATATAAAGAAATATTTCATGAATTGTCAGATCTCTTTCTCCTCCTTTTCAATTTCTGCGTTTAATCGGATCTGAGTAACCCTTTCTTCCCTGTTTCTCCTCTTTTTTCGCGTTAACACTTTGTTGCATAGTTCAGACTTGACAGCTTAGACTTTGGGATGCATTCGGATAAAAATAAGGAGGTAATAGATGATGGAGAAGATATTGAGGTTGCGGATGATATTAATCAGTTCCCAACCGGTTTGGGACGAAAGTACAGTCCAGTAGTGGCTCACGACGTTAATGATAGTGCCGTTGTTGAGATGACTTCTATTCATCCCGGATCTTCCTCCTCTTTCCCTAAACACGATCTCAAGTACACTACTCTCTCTCTTCTCCTGTTGACTAGTATTGACTGGAAATATAATAATAACTCTTTGTGGGATTTATTGAGACCAAGTAACAACAACAACTACACCTCAGTCCCACTTGAAACAAGTTGGGGATATGAATACTCACTGATCATGTTACTCCATTTAAACCATTGCCAATATTATGCAAAGGATTTAAGTTATACAGTATACATTGAGAGTCTAAAGATATTTTTTAGTGAATTTTAACTTGTGATAGTAGGTTAATTACCATCACAGATTCTCTACCCCTTGAACCCCCCAAACCACCCAAAAAGAAAAAAAAAACAAAAGTTGACCCTGAGAGGGTGATCTAGGATTTGAATTTGATGGGTTCGAGATGCCGTTGAACCCACTGACCATTTGAGTTATTGGGTTCGAAATTTAATATTTGTACATATTTGGTAAATTTCTTTAACAGATTGGGTGCTCGACTGCTTTCTCACATGCTCCATTACTCTGAATAGTTATTATGCCAAAATTGGGTGCATTGGCATGTCCACCATTGTTTCTAATATGAGTTTAAGGGTGTGCAGAGATGTCGTCTAGAATTTTGTTGTCTCTTTTATTTCTTGAAAACCATTTCAAGCATTGTTCTGATTGCACCATTTCTTTTCAGGAAAGTTATAGTGGGTGTCCAGCCAAATATGGCCTCTGAAGAAAGAGAAGAGTCATTAGCCAATCAAAGCATCAATGGTCCTCAAAGAGAGTCCAAACTGGAATTATTTGGCTTTGATTCTCTAGTAAACATTCTAGGTCTCAAGAGGTAAGAGGTACAAAATTCTGTGTCTTTTTTGTTTCATTTTCCTTCTAGTCCACTAACTTTTATTTGCGGGTGAATAATTCATGAAATTCTTTTGATCTCTTTTGTTCTCTTTTTGCTTAATAACTTTTTAGATATAGTTGCATTTTGATATCATTGGAGTAGAATTTGAGTTTTCTGGTGGGTGCTGTGAATCGAAGTCTAGAGAGAGAAGCTCTTCCATCTATCTAGAATCTACTGATTAGAGTTTCAGGCTAGCGTCTCTCTTAGTCTAGGATGCTTCCTTCTTTTTGTAAAGATCTTGATCCCCCCAGTCTAGGATGCTTCCTTCTAAGAAAATTTTCCTCCAAAGTCCGTCTATCTTTTACTTTTCTGAGGCATATCGGCTTTTAGAATCTGTATCCGTTGATTCTTCTTTTGAAGTGATATTTTGAGTCTCCTCTTTTGAATTAAAAGTTTTGATATACAAAGTAACTTGCCTAGCTATAAGGTGACGAGAAATGGAAATCATCAGTCTTATATCATGTTCTTATACATTTTTCGATCGGGTAAATATTTCGTGTTCTTACTCTTATTTCCTTTTATTTATTATACTGTCAAGATGGAGAGGAGAATGTTCTTTTCCCGGGTGAAATCATGTGAGATTTTAGAAGGCAATGCATGTAGATTCAATTGGTGTGAAAGAAGAAGATAGTTTGTTAGTAAAATCAATAGAGAATGCAGAAATTGCGTGGGTTTCATAACGCAACTGATATCAGCCTTAGAAGCAAGGGTTTGCTTTGCGGAAGATAGAGGAGAACGGGGCAACTTTTTGATTACCATGTACTTCAGAACTACAGTTGGAAAAGTGCTTTATAAGTTTCACGACCCAGGACCAGATGGGCCATGACTGGCACTTAGCGAGCAACTACCACTAGGTGAATCTTGAATCACTGGGGACAAGTTAAGCAAAATAGTTTGCATCTCATATAACGGAAACAGATGACATCCATTTATGCAATAATCATACAATAACAGAAATATAACCGTCAAAATAGTACTAGTCAATATATCCCATACGTATAGGCCACAATGTACATGGAGCATCTGAATAAGAGGCTAAGTGAGATGGGACATAACCCAATACTGAATATAAAGTAAAAAGAACTCAGACATAGTCTCCACGGAAAGGTGGATAGCTCACCACTGATGCTGGATAGAGATATGCAGACACTCAAATGTCGGCTGCTGTATCTGCCCCAATATCTATAGGAGCCAACCTGCTTTAGGTAATTTGGACATAAAGGAATGAAAGAAGTATTAAAGAAAAAGCAGAATCAATAAATAGAGTTTGATACAAATGTTATTTTCCGTCTTTTTGGTTTAACATGCTGGATGTATGTGATTTAGGCATACTGCTTGGTTTCCTAAGCTCCGATTATGTGTTATGGGAGACTGGGATTTTGTACTATAATTATTCTTCTGCTCTTGGTTGCAGTTTATATGAAATAAAGTTGCTTACTTATCAAAATATAAAAATGTCCTTAACAACTAAAGTACTTTCTAACTTCAATTTTCTCTCAATTTTGCTGGTTAAATAATGGAAGAGTTCTTATCAATCTTGTTGTTCCAGTATGACAGGGGATCAAATTCAGGCACCGTCTAGTCCAAGAGATGGTGAGGATGTAACTATCACATTTGAGCAACCTAAGGTACTTGAACTGATTTGTTGAGCATCTATTTGATTTCCCTGAAGCTTTTTTTCATGCACAGTTAAGACTGTTTCATGTTCACAAAAGTTCTGGAATTTATTTTCAGTCTTTATTCCTGTGGCCTTCATTTTCATCTCCTATGCATTTGTCAGTCTACATAGGGGTAAAAAGTGAGTGATTATTTCCTTTTGAATGAACAGTAATGCACAGTAGGCTATAATATTGGCTGTACGATCAAGCTTATAAGAAGACAAAGAGTATGGTAGTACTTAGGTTTTCTACTTAGGATGTCAAATCTTGTACTCCCTCTATCCCAATTTATGGACATTCATCCCTTTTTACTCGGTCCCAAAATTAATGACATCTTTCTACATTTAGTAATAACTAGTCTTAGGTTACGCGCTTTGTGCGTGTACCCTATATTAATGAGTATATAATTAAAATAGTTAATACTATTAAACAACATGGTTGAGTCATAAAGTAAAAATTAAAGAAAAAATGTAAGTTCCTAAAATGATGAATATATGTTGATCTATTTAGCTACTTCAATAAAGGAAGAAATCATGTCCTACAAAAGGCCTCGAATATAAATGAATGTTGATTGTATTTAGCTAGTTCTATAAAGGGAGAAATCACGTTCTACAAAAGGCCTCAGATATCTTACTATGATTTTTTAGAACTAATATTTGCACCAATCCAATAGGTTAGAGGACTACACGGTGTTAGAAAAGAATACACAGAATTGTAACCTGCAAATCTTATCCAATATTAATCACAATAACATGTTCATGCTAATTCTTGAAAAAAAAATCAACTGCAATTAAAGAGGAAAAGCAATTCAAAACCAATTCGACGAAAGAAAGCAAAGGGAAAATTTCTATCCGTAGAAATACCTAAATAATGTCGTTAATGAAGACAGTTATGTCGTTTGTGTAGAGGTGGTTGGACTAAGAGAAACTTACCGCAGAAAAAATCTTATTGTTGATTTGCTTTTTCTAACTCAAGAATAATTCTTATTAGTTTTTGCATGATTAGGAATAAAAGACTCAAATCCTATCTATCGAAGACTCAAATTTAATTGCATCAGACTCCATAAAATTAATAATGGTGAATTGCGTATATTTAATATTTATATTATAAATCTTTGTGAGAAGGCACGAGAGAAAATATGATATATTGATATTGTATGTTCAATACAATACAAGAGGTCCTTATTTATAGCTATACTATACAAGGACATACTACTATTCCAATGTGGGACAAGACTACATTATGTACATATCTTAACACTCCCCTCCAAGCCGGTGCATACACATCATATGTACCGAGCTTGTTACACATGTAACTAATACGAGAACCAGTAAGAGACTTAGTGAAAATATTTGCGAGTTGATCATTCGACTTTACAAACTTTGTAACAATATCTCCTGAAAGTATTTTTTCTCCGACAAAGTGACAGTCGATCTCAATGTGTTTAATCCTCTCATGGAACACCAGATTTGACGCAATATGAAGAGCATCTTGGTTATCACACACTAGTTCCATCCTACTGATTTCTCCGAACTTTAACTCCTTGAGCAACTGCTTGACCCAAACTAACTCACACGTTGCCATAGCCATGACCCGATCTTCGGGTTCGGCGCTAGATCGAGCAACTACATTCTGTTTCTTGCTCTTCCACGAGACCAAATTACCTCCTACTATAACACAATATCCAGATGTAGATCGTCTATCAAAAGGTGATCCTGCCCGATCAGCATCTGTGTACCCAACAATTTGCTCGTGGCCTCGTTCTTCGAATAGTAATCCTTTGCCTGGAGCTGACTTTATATACCAAAGAATACGAACAACCGCATCCCAGTGACTATCACAGGGAAAATCCATAAACTGATTTACAACACTCACCGGAAAAGAAATGTCAGGTCTAGTCTCTGTGAGGTAATTCAATTTTCCAACCAACCTCCTATATCTCGTAGGGTCTCTAAGAGGCTCCCCCTGTCCAGGCAGAAGCTTAGCATTCGGATCCATAGGAGAGTCAATAGGTCTGCAACTCATCATTCCAGTCTCCTCAAGAATGTTTAAGGCATATTTCTGCTGTGAAATAACAATACCTGAGCTAGACTGAGCATCCTTAATACCTAGAAAATACTTCAAACTGCCTAGATCCTTAGTTTGGAAGTGCTCAAGAGATGTTTCTTCAGATTAGTAATACCATCCTGATCGTTGTCAGTAATAACAATATCATCAACATAAACCACCAGATAAATACACAGATTCGGAGCAGAATGTCGATAAAACACAGAGTGATCAGCCTCACTACGAGTCATGCCGAACTCCTGAATAATTGTGCTGAACTTACCAAACTAGGCTCGTGGGGACTGTATCAAACCATATAATGACCTGCGCAATCTGCATACACAACCACTAAACTCCCCCTGAGCAACAAAACCAGGTGGTTGCTCTATATAAACTTCCTCGTCAAGATCACCGTGGAGAAAAACATTCTTAATGTCTAATTGATAAAGAGGCCAATGATGTACAACAACCATGGAAAAAAAAAAGACGAACAAATGCTATTTTAGCCACGGGAGAGAAAATATCACTATAATCAAGCCCAAAAATCTGAGTATATCCTTTTGCAACAAGACGAGCCTTAAGCCGATCAGCCTGGCCATCCGGATTGACTTTGACTGCATAAACCTAACGACAACCAACAGTAGACTTACCTGCAGGAAGAGGAACAAGCTCCCAAGTACCACTCAAATGTAAAGCATACATCTCGTCAATCATAGCCTGTCGCCATCCAGGATGAGATAGTGCCTCACCTGTAGACTTAGGAATAGAAACGGTGGACAAAGAAGATATAAAAGCATAATGAGGTGATGACAGACGATGATAACTTAGACCAACATAGTGGGGATTAGGATTAAGTGTGGACCGTACACCTTTGCGGAGTGCAATTGGTTGACTAAGAGGAGACAAGTCCGCAGTAGGTGCAGAATCTGATGCAGGACGTGAATCACCTGAACCTGATGCTGGATGTGGACGACGATGATAAGTCAAGAGTGGCGGAGCTGCAGAAGGTTGAACTGGATTATGTGGAGGAACTGGACCTATAGGTGATGGAACTAGAGCTATAGATGGTGGAACATGAGCTATATATGGTGGAGCTAGAGATGTAGAGGAAGATGGATGGGAGATCGTGACTGGATCTCCAAAAGAAGAGGATGGTAGTACCTCAGAAATATCTAAGTGATTACCTGGACCTGTGAAGTATGATTGGGTTTCAAAAAAGGTAACATCAGCGGACATAAGGTACCGCTGGAGGTCAGGAGAATAGCATCGATACCCCTTTTGTGTTCTCGAGAAACCAAGAAATACGCACTTAAGACCACGGGGAGCTAACTTATCTGTTCCTGGAGTAAGGTTATGGACAAAACAAGTGCTTCCAAAGACATGGGGTGGAAGAGAGAACAAAGGTAAGTGAGGAAACATGACAGAGAATGGAACTTGGTTCTAGATAGCTGAAGATGGCATACGATTAATAAGATAGCAAGAT